TTTTTTTTTTTTTTTTTTTTTTTTTTTTTTTTTTTTTTTTTTTTTTTATTAATATTATTATTGTTGTGTAAAATTAAACCGACAATTATTTACAAAATTATATTAAAGTGTTAGAATTAAATTCAATAAAGTCACTATTAATAACAATAAATATAATACTCGAACTCTACATAAAATGCTCTCACAACCAAATAGTGATATATTAGTTAACATCAAATAACATATACATAATATTTTACACCCGATATTAGTTTTTTATATTAGTGTGTATATTAATTTGCTGCAACGATCGCTAAAGTATTGTCATCAGTAAAGTTGTCGTCGTCAAGCGTACCGATATTTATCGAAAATTATCAAGAATGGACATCATTCTAAGATATATTTTCGGCACTAATCGATATAATATATCGTTAACGGCGAGAAAAAATTTTTTTATTTACGAGAATCATTAAGTTAGAAATTGATTAGAAACAACACATAATAATGCTGTAGTTATAATTTTAATTTGTTAAAAACGAGTATTTTTAAATACATTTTGACGTTTTTTATGTAATCTATTGCAAAATATTATTTTGTGTCTATTAATCCTGTAAAATGTAAGATTGTGTTTGTTGCCTAGTAATTTTAGGTATTTTTTTATAATATCTTGGCAAAATGCATAATGACGGATTATGCAATTTACCGGTAACGCTAAACTGTTGACTTATTTAATTTTCAAACAAAAAAAAAAAAAAACAAGACATATTAAAAACGTTCATCTAAATGTAAAATTGTTTATATTCGTAATATTTAAAAACAAAAAAAAAACTTTTTTGAAAATTTATTTAAAAACTCAGTGGTTTTTTCGTCACACTTAATCGTTTGTTCCTTATTTCTAAAACATATTTAAATCCACCTTTTTTCCACTCATCACGTAATGTTTTTCTATAATAATTTCCAAATTTTTATTGCTATTTTCGTTTGACCATCTGTATAGTGTGTGAATATTGAATAATAACTCGGGAAAGTAAAAAACAGCACATTTTTATAAACCACAAAAAATACTCAACTACTAGGTACTTATATATCATTCCATTGCGGTTTTCCATTGACAGTTAGATTTTGTTTTTATTGTTTAGTTTAATATTTTGACATTACAATGATTTACGGTAACCTCATAGTTATTTAAAACGCGTGTAATAAGAATGATCGCATGTCGAATTTAATTATTGTTTTTTAAAATTCATCTAAAGACACGTTAGAAATACAATATATTATTGATAACTCGCGTTATTTGTGAAACGTACATATAGGTTGTACATATATTATTATTTATATTATAATTATGTTTTTCGACCGTAAATTAACATTGACGCACATTTATAAATCATAATATATGTTAAGAAAAGCCCAACCAGTCGATCACAAACAATATATTGTACAAACAAAATTGGTAATTACATACGTTTAAGATTATACCGATTACTAATAACTATGGACGAATGACTAAATACGATCATTAATTCACGGTCGCAGTTAATAAAACGCGTGTAAATAGTTAAACAAGTAAATACTCAATTGTTTTCCAATTAACTTTTTTCCCATTTCAAGACCATCAACACCCCCCTGAGTGTTTTCTTTCTCGTCGAAATTTTTCCAAGTAACTGGTGAAGGTCTCTGAATTAAAGTGTAAATATTTACCTACGGTATTTAGAAAATTTCAACCCCCTTAATGTGTACATAAAATAGACGGGTTGACAAACAATAATAATTTACTGGCTGCTCGACGACTAAAAACATCAAAATCGATTCATTCTGGAACGGTCTTTTCGCAAATCGTGTCACTCGGGGACCTGACGGAGACTGCGATATTATGTGAGTTTGATTATTTTCTACATCTCGGAAAAACGAAAAACTTTCTACGTCGATTAATCATTGAACTGAATATATAAAACTCGACTTATAGGTTGTATATTATAATCATCGGAAACGTGTCAGGATATCATCCAAAAACTGCCATTTTGAATCGGTTCGTTTGTTGTTCTATTTATCTTCGTTGTTACCATAACATTAATTCCGGATTTAGAAAAATGCAATACTCAAGAAGACTGGAAACCAGCAACCTAAACCGCGGGGTGGACATTGTTCTTAGAACTAATGTGCACTTCGTCCACATGTATTCAGTTCAATGCGATTAACCGATAAAAAGCGTTCGGTAAGGAAATGGTATGGAATAGAACATTAGTGTTTCGGGTCGGATCCAAATGACAGTCTAAACGTTTAATTTCGAACGCATTTATTTTGAGATTCCATCGAGCAGTACCAAATGTACAGTTGTGATAGTTGTTTTGTACACAGTGTCGATCTAGGAATATCTAGGAATCTAGGATCTAGGAAATTTGAGGCTCGGGGCTGATGAAAATGTAGGCGATAGTAATTTGCGTCACCAATACCACATGTAATTTGCGCCACATCCCCGTACGTTTAATTACGCCTAATCAATCTGTTTTGACAAATTTGTGTGGCAAATTACACAGCACTATTTTTTATTGGTCATGGCGCAAATTACACGCGTAACTGTTTTAAAGTGGTGCATATTACGTTTATTTATGTTTTTTTTTTTTTTCGGTCACTTTTGACGCAAATTACACACATCCAAAAACGCAGCGTCTTAGTTCAGGTGGATTTACGGGGTACGTTCATGATTCTTTTTATTTTTCAAAAGCTTAAGAACGCCCTCGCAACGATAGCACCATGGGTAAGTATACCCACTTTCCCTCCCTCCAATATATCCGACACTGCTAATACACGCCACTGCATGTACAACACTACTTCTTTCGGATGTATACGGATACATCCGTCTTCAAGGCGCGACCGGTTGCACACGGGCAGTCATCGTGACGGAACGCATGTGCAACGGGTCCGAAAAAGGAAATATTATCAAATTACGACCGACTGACCGATTCATGACCAATGCGCATGTAAAAATAGGCGACTGGCTCACAACGAGAAATCCTTTTAGTCGGGGAAGAAATTCGCTGGAACCGTCGAATACTCACCGACCGTCCGCTTGAAAATCAGTTTCGAAATTAAACTCGTGTTCGTGTACTCGGAATCGTGTGGACGCGTTCGCGATTTGCCACGCAACCGTTGCAGTTGCGTCACGTTTCATTTTGTCGCAGGAACAACTGTCCGAAATACGACGACCACACGGAGACCACCGCGGTGGATGTGAACCTGTTCAAAACGATCGGACTGTACCAGCAGCTGTGGCCCGGCCGCGGCCACGTGTACCGCACCACGGTGGCCGTGTTGCTGTCCATGTCGCTGGTCGTGCAGATCACGCAGGTGGTCGGTCTGTACGTATACTCCAACGATTTTCAGAGGTTCGCTTTCCTGTCCGTGTTCGTGGTCGATTCGCTCATGTGCCTGTTCAAGGGCTACGCGCTGCTGGTGAACGCGGACAGGCTGTACAGTGGCCTGGAGCTAGGCGCGTACGCGTTCACGTTGTGCGGCCGCCGCGACACGTCCTGGATGCGTCGACGCAAGCCATTGCTCAGCGGTCTTCTACGCATGTACGCCGCGGTCAGCTACATAACCCTTACCATCTGGCTGCTGGCCCCGTTGGTCGTGGGCGGTCACGTGTCGCTGACCCGCCTGGACGGCACTGTGGCCACGCAGCGCGCCAACATCTTCAACATGTGGGCCCCCGTGTCCGACGCTACATACAACTCGACACCCGTCTGGTCGCTGTTCTACGCGATCGAGATAATCTTTTGCATCGTGGATGTGACCATTTGGGTGTGCTTTGACTGCTATGCGATGACCATGTGCTACATGCTCATCGCGCAGTTCGACGCCATGACAGCCGAATACGAAACACTCGGTCGCCTCGTTCCCGGTACGTAACCATCATCCCGTGGTGCACCTAACCGTATTATCAGCGTCTTCAATAGGGGAGAAGGTAATGAGGTATTATACGTATGGGTATTAAAAAGACGGAATCGTGCACATCAATTTAATTAAAAAAAAAAAATTAATATAATTAATAACCGTAGATAAAACCGTTTACTGCAACACTGATCATAAATCTATACAGCGCACCTTCTTCGTTCAGTCGTTTAATGAAATTCTTTTTTTTTATATATACTATTTAGAAACAAACATTTTTCTTGTACATAATTAGATTGAAAAATGGAATAAAAGCGTAAAAGGCAATTGTATATTTTTCAGGGACCGTTGAAATAATAAAATTGCTTTGCTAACAGATTAAAACCACAATTTCCCTGATAAATGAAATAATCATCATATTTGGACGATGCTCAAAAATAGGGAAAATAATATGTCTGTTAAATATAACAGAAATTTGTTTGAAGAATACTGTTCATGTATTCAGTGAACGGAACGAGTCGAAAATCGTTTAAAAGGCTAATCTAAATTAACTACGGTTAAAAAATAATGCATCCTTCCATATGTATACAGTGAAAAACATCACAGAGTAATAAAGGGTTGTTATAACAAAAACAATTAAATGATACAACACAGGCGATAAATCGTGGCGTTAAAAAAAAAAAAAAAAAAAAAAAACGTTTTCGTTGTTCACAGATCGATCCGTTTATTGTCACAACAATGCAATTTTGTTATGTATCCTTGTTCAGCCTACCCCATCCCTCACACCGTTCGCACTTAAAAGTTCAAACACAATACCCATTCTGAAACGCATTAATTCATTACATTTCATCGGATTATAATGTTACATCAAGTACACACACTCGTACATTATTATAATCTGTTGATTACTATTGCAGATGCGGAAAAAAACGAACCGATACCGGATCATTACGATGAATTGATCTGCAGCATAAAAGATAATCAGAAAATAATCGAGTGAGTATGAAATAACAGTAATCATGACCTTAGAAAAAAATATACATAAGTACCGGATATAGGGGAAGTTTAGGTCTGACCCACAATTAATTTTTTTTTTGACAAAATTAGCCTCTTGAAATGTTCTTAAATTTTTTAAGCATGCTGACTATAGGTTGATACTAGACTGGAGCAGATGTCCCAATTGCCATCCCTCCCAAATGACGCCACTGGTTTGATAATTAAACAATTATTGCATAGTACAGTAAGATCTATATGTTGGGCTCCATGTAAGATGGAATCCTCCGTAAAATAAAATGAATGTTAATATTTTCAATGATGATTATGAATAAAGTTAAAATCACGTTATATGATCATATTGTGATTTTTTTTTTATTACAAGGTATATACATTTATAATCCAATTTCAGCTCTCGGGTGGCCTTTTAAAATAGCCTGACACACAGTTCTTTAAAATCTCTAAATCTAACCTGGGCATGCGTGGAATAGTGTATTGGTGCATCTGCCGTAAAATATTTTACCATCATATGTGGTATTCATACATATCAATTGATGATTTGATCACGCAACCCGGTTGCTCTTGGATCGTATATGGTGCATTTGAAAAATATATTATTATCGATAGTATCGTCCCTTAGAGTCTAAGGCTTATACAAAACACTCACAAACGTTGGACCCGGCAAACAAATAATCCGACAACCTGTTAAAACGCATATGCAAAAAATCCGCCACGCCTCAATACTACTACAGTGATTTTCAGAGATAATGTAAGATCGATGTTTAACGCGAGATCCAGGTTTACGGCCGAAACTGTACGAGTCACGTGGACGTCCGGACGTCCGTACGGAGGTTAGACCAACGAGTCAGGGTCGTCGTCGTGGACCACCGCCTCGGCCCGTACCTGTCTAGAACGCGCATTGCCGAATCTAGGGGTCGGGGCAAGTGAGTACGCTTGCCCTAGGCGCTGTTGGTATATATGTTACGAACATATCCAGTACTTCCACCTTACATAGGGGTACTGAATTTTCATTAGCCCAGGGTGTCAGATTCCCTAGGCCCGGCGCAGCGGACACGAGAACCGTGTTGCGAATCTCCACACTCGTCAGTGGTTTTGATTACCATCCAGCACTGGCTCCCCGAAGTCACCACGTTTCAACCCAAACAGGCACTTCAAACCTCGGAGGGGGGGGGGGTCACACAATTTCCGGCTAGCCAATCCGGCATGTGGGGAGGGCACCCCGTCCTGTGGAACCAACTAGTTTTGCAGTTGACGTTGATTGATGACCTCGGGTCGTTGCATCCGCCTCTGCCATTATTTTGGCTTCTCCAGCCGATCCGTAGTGAGCCGCTTCGATGTTTAACAGTAAGCGATGAGAATAGAAAAAAGCTGCTTTTGTGTTTTGTTTTCTTGTCGCGTGGTTTTCGTCACACGGACGACAACATCATCAACAGCTTGACGATTGCGATTGCTAAGGACAAAACCATGAAACTTTTTAGAATAATACGCGACACGTGTACACCAAAAATAAAAACAAGTACGTAATGTATTCATTTCGTATTGTTGTTGAACGGAAATAAAAATTTCTCAACCGAATAAAACATTTCTGCTATAGTAAAAACGTTTACGGAATCATTATATCGTCTTATCTACATCACTTAACGGTGACCCACTTAAATCGGTTAGATCGGATCAACTCGGCGATCCATAAATTAATTATTAAATCGATTTCCCTCACATTCCCCCAACCATTATGATGTAAAATCCGCAGTTCTTCGGCCACGACTGAACGCAAAATCGTCTGGCGCACACACAGACGATGTGTCTATTTTATAATTTTCAAGAAATAAAACGATTTTATTGTGTTTTACTTTAAATTAATTAATTTTTAGAAAATACAATGAGTTTGTCGACGTTTTTCGGCCCGTGGTCTTGGTTCAGATAACTAGTGGTTCGTATACAGTTATCATGTTGGTGTTTCTTCTTTTATTGGTAAGTATTACACGACCTCGGCGAATTGTCTGCGGCGCTGAATTTTTATTTAGATTTTTTTTCAAGACTAATCTCAAGGGCCGTTCTATTATATCCGGGCCGTCTTTGAAATTGTTTAGCGGCGGCGCGTCACTCGCTATTGAGATCTTCATATACTGTTACATATTTGACCACATAGAAACCGCGGTAATAGCATAATGCATTATGGTTACATCGCACTGCACGCGGTATACGGAACTGCTTTGTTTAATAATTTGCCGGTTCCGCATGTGTATGTCACCAGAAGTCGAAGGTGAATTTCGGATTGTACAGTAGCGACTGGACCGCGAAGGATTTGAAGTTTAAAAAGACACTGTTGCTGGTCATGAACATGAACTCTGCACACAATCGATTGATGAAAATAAAACCCGAATCAGTTGTTAATCTAGAATTGTTTGCCAAGGTAATTATCGTAACTCTAAACGATAAACTTGTAAAATCTGTGTAAATTATGAATTAATAATTAAATTAAATAATAAGATAATACATAAAATAAAAAATTAAAATAACAAGTGATTTTTAAGGACATTTTTTTGGTAAAATTAATTGTTCACTATTTTATAGATCATTTTTCGATGGTTTTTAGGGCATTTAAATTCGGATCATGCCAATTGCTAAAAATGAATGGGCGGCTTTGTGTGCCGAGACAGAATAATTTTATTATTACTTGAATTGTTATATTCAAAAGTGTTATGATCATTTCAGGTGGTGAAACTGTCATACTCGATAGTGTCTGTACTGCTCAAGACGAATTCTTAAAGAAAAAAAATCAATTGCAACATGCATTTTATATTATACACAGGTTTAATTGATACTATTTTATTTGTAACACAAACGGGTAGCACACGCTTATGTACACGTTATACGTACAATAATAATTTACAAAACAATCAGAATTGAACGTATCGAAACAAATGTCGTAAATTTTTAAATTATCTTGCAGTAAAATTAATTTAACTCGTTTGTTTAAAATAAAGTTTGTGAATTCTTATTTTTTTTTAAAATTAACAAAAACTTTAAAGACAGAGAGAAACAAAAAAATCAAAAACAACAGTTAACAGTTGTATGATAAAAATTAATCCCAATAATCAAAATGGTATATATTAGAAATATATAATATACACTTTTTAATTGTTCGTGTATTTAGAGTATATCCAATAACTTTTTGTGTGTATAACATTATAATATAATGATCGAAAAAATATCAAAATACAGACAGATCAACTCACTACTTGGTTTAATGATTGCTTGTCTGAAAATAAGATTTATTCATGTCAGCAACTAATTTTATATAATTGTATGTAAAACAAAAAAATAAGAATTGTATATTGTATACTGTATATTCGTCATCACTTTAAATTTAATAAAATATCAAATCATACGGTTTATTTTATTTTTACATGTTAATTAGTGTATATAGTTGATTACACCTACAGCCGTGGAATTAACGTTGAAAAAATAAAGAAAATATAATAATAATAATATAAAGAAAAAAAATAAAGATACCAAAATGAGAAAAATCTATTATTATATTGGTTTTGTGATTTAAAAGTTTTCTCGGTCAAGTGAAAATACTACTCGTATTAATTTGTGTTTGAATCGATTTAATCATAATATGATTATCATTATATTATAAATATATATATTATAATTCGATCCAAACTTAAAACTTAAATTTATATCGATTGAAGTTCGAACTTATAATATTTCTTATAATATTTGTATAGCTTAACTATTATTTTATGTGATAGTGTTTTGCAATATAAGAATATATATATAAATAATGTATCATTTTAACGATATATTTTATTGTCAAATGGTTTGTAAAATATATCACGTAATCATTGATATAAAATAATAATATTCGCAATGCAATAGTGTTCTTATATTATTCACTGAATTATTTGTTGTTACAATGGAAACTAGGATGAAGAAAAACTAAGAAATCGAAAAAAGCCGTTGAAGAATTCCGGCCGGATATCCCATATCCGTCACTGACGGCATGCTTTTATAATACGGAAATTTAAAATTCTGGAATATTTGAGCAAATCAGCCCAGCCGTTCTCGATTGATAAAATGTTATACATTTTTGGCTCCATTTTTATATATATAGATATGGAAATTCAAGACCGTAATATTGTGCAATCATTGCGGTGTAATACATATAACGGTATTGTAATCGATGTAATCGAAATAATTATCGTAAACAATTTTACTCTCTCCACCACGACCCGCGAATAATACCGAGGCTTGAAATCAGGGACCTTGGTGCAAATCAAAATTCTTGGGCCTTTTTTGAAAAGAAATTTACTTTAGATCATTATATTTTTACTAAAATGCAAGTTGCATTATAAATATATAACCCTATTTTAATATGTTAAATAATAAATATCAAAACGAACCTTAAATAACTGGTATTAAAAATTAATTTTAATAAATCATTTATTTAATATAATCATTACTAAATCTATTTTTGGTTCTTGTATTTCAAGAAATGAAATTTCTAATTTTTGGAACCAATTTTAATGCTAAAATATGTGTAAGAAACAGGAATACATATATTATGATTTTTTAATGACTTCTAAGCACTTTCTTAGCTTGTTTAAGAGTTAATGTAATTTCTATTATTAGAAATGTTACACTTCTTCTGTTTCCAGATTTAAACAATTTAGATGTTACAGCATATTTTAATTTCGGAAAAGTATAAATGTTGTCTTCATGTTTTCTTCGATAAATTTATCAAAATATATTTGTTAAATATATATGACTGGAAACAAATTGAATATCACAGTTAAAGTTATTTGAATCGCATATTTATTTTTGTTGTTAAAAAAAAAAAAAAATAAATAAAATAAAATATTTTTAAATATTTCAAAGTAAAAATACTAAATATGTTTGATTATATGATTTTAAAATTTTACTGTACATTAACTTACTGTATATTAAAAGGATAAATGTTTTAATTTGATGACGAACAATTTAGGAATTGGTAATAACATGAAGATTAACACAGCGAATTGATATATTTCAATACACTAAACTAGTATCTAGAGTACATAACACGAAACTGTGCTATATAAACATTTTCAATTTAACAAAAAGTAAAATATGTAATACACAATACAAATGTTATAAGTAATTACAATTACTTTCTGTACCAGCTCTGAGTAAGCGTCATTCTCTTAATTTTTTTTTGCAACTGTAAGATACCATACATCAATGCTTCTGCAGTTGGAGGACAACCTAAAAAGTACAAAAATATCATTAAACAGGGTTAGAAAACTAAGAACATTCCACAATTTGTTATCAGTTGAAAATCTATAATATTATATGTATAAAACATGTAGAATAAAATATATTGATTAATTGAAATTGAAACTAGGTTAAACATTATTTTATATATAATATAATTTTGCAGTAAGACAATAATTATTTAACAAAAAAGTCCAAAATATAAATTTATGTTTTCATTAGAAACAATGTGAACTGTACATTTAATAAATTTAATAAACAAAATTATCAATTTAATATTATTTAAAAGAGTTATACTGAAAATATTGTATTAAAATAAAAATATCTATTTACCGGGTACATAAATATCAACTGGAATAATCCTATCACATCCTCTTACAACTGAGTACGAATAGTGATAATAACCACCGCCATTTGCACAGCTTCCCATTGAAATGACCCATTTTGGATCAGGCATCTAAACAAGTCTCAAGTTGAATAACAATCCTTGAGTATTATTCAAAGGTTGACTCACTTGATCATAAACCCTCCTTAGAGCTGGGGCCATTTTATTTGTCAACGTTCCTGCAACTATAATAAGATCAGCTTGACGAGGTGATGCACGAAAAACAACACCATATCGATCCATATCATATCGAGGAGCAGCTATGTGCATCATTTCCACGGCACAACAAGCCAATCCAAAAGTTAAAGGCCAAAGTGAATGCTGGAAATCAAATGAATATTAAATTAAAATAACAACAATATAGAAAAAAAAATAGTAATTGTTTCATTGGGTACCTTACGGCCCCAGTTCAAAATATCGTCTAAACGAGCAACAGCATATTCAGCCTTACTATTTGTATTTTGAAATGGAGAATACGGACGATATGGTCTTTCTGTAATAAAAATATAATTAAAATGTATTACAAACTAGAGAAATATATGTTACAACTAACCTTCTACTTTAGTGCTTTCTTGTGATACTGGTTGAGCATTGGAAGATCCATTTCTAAGACAAATTTGAGTGATTGCTGGATTCTTCAGAAGACTAGTTATGTTCTTAGAGGCCAATATAATTTGACTAGGACGTCCTAAATTAATTCATGATCAGTATAAGTATAAGCATTATTCCTTAAAAACTAACAAAAGAATCATAAATCTGTATAATATAACAATGTTGTAATAAATGAATTACTAATCAAATAATAACAATAAACAATACCTAACAAGTATAATTTTATAGATATATCATTATAATTTATAGATAAATGGCAAAATCAACTGATAACAAATACTAAAATATTTAAAAAGAATTAATAAAACACTGTACTTGTAGATTATTTAAATAAAAATATTATCTTATTAAAAATATTACAATTAATGGTGCAATTTTATTCTCTTAAAGCGAGAAAATTGAGCGTTTGGTAACAATCTTATCTTTTATTTGATTGATTGAAGTTAATCAGTAGATCTGTTTAACAAGAAAAATGATTTTGAATATAATAAACCTAAGCCATTTACTTTAACTGAAGACCAAAGTAATTATTTAACTTACAGAAGACGAAAAAATACAATAACGCAAATTGATATCGATTACTTACCAATCATTTTAATTTTTCAATAGAACAAATTAACTTCAATTAATATTCAACACGATACTATAAGGAAGATTTTACTTTAGTAGAAAAGCTAATACGAGAACCTGCGACAAGCAATGATACAAGATACAAGTAAACGACCTCACTAGGAAATAAGCTGTTATCATCACCTATTGTTTTCTTGATAACAATTTTAGTAAACAGCTGGAACAATTATAATATTTTGAGCGGGCATGACGTCATATCTCAAACAAGCAAGGAAGCAAAATTATACTATAAATATAAATCTGGGTTTCACAACTCTATTAGACAGAATTTATCGTCCCCAGACAACTTTCTAAATTGCCAAAACAGTAAAACGCGTGGAATCAGGGCCGCACTCAGCTTCGGCAGGCCCCGGACAAACTAAACCTTCTGGGCTCCCTATTTTTCAAAGGGGTTTTCCTGTTTTTCGTTAAGAAAATTTGTCTAATTATGTATAAAACTAATGATTAAATTATTTTAACATCAAATATTATTGCAACCATGCTATTTTAATATTTTTTATTTTTATCTAACCAATGTTGAAACTTTTTCAAAGAAAATTTAAATACTCAAATACATAAATGATAATGTACAAAACGACATAATAATATTATACGTAATATTAATAACCATAAATTATATAATTAATTACCCTAAATTTAAAATAGTGTTTTTCTTCTTGCGTTTCTCACTGCGAAATCATCAATGACCCCATCCATGTCAATCAGTTAAGCCTCAGTTGAGCCTCCACTGCTAAAACACCTAAGTTTGAGAGTCTGTTGTGTCATTGTTGATCGTAATACATTCTTCACTTTCTTCAATGTTGAGAAAGATCGTTCCACACTCGCAACAGTTGCAGGAATAAAGATTCGTAATGCAATACATAAATTAGGAAACATGTTTGCCATATTATTTTTTTGCAAATGATTCAGTTTAGTTGTTTATGTCCAGTTTAGTAGCATAAAATATATTAAGACTTTGTAGCTCATCTACTAAATCTTCTTGTAAATCATCATTTTACTTCAAAACCAGATTTCTAGATTTTAATTTAATTTCTCCTTTCATATATTTAAACTCCCAAAGAATTGAGAAAATATCAATAACTTTTTTCAGTCATTCAAATCGTTTGTTTATGTCTGCAATTACTTCATCCAAAATGACATAAAATACATTCCTTGATAAGATTAAAGTAGAATATAAGTATTCGGTCACTATAAATGGTTTTCAAATAATTGAGTTGTTTCGAATGTTTTCGATGTATCGAATGATTTACAATTATCATTTATCATTGCAATAATACACGAATATACAGTATTAATATATGAATAAAAATTTAACCAAGAGGTAATGACCATTGGTCGATACCTAAGCTCCAGCAGGGGCCCTTTAAAATTTAAATTTCTTGTAGATCCGAGCCAGTCATGATTTAAAAGGCCGTAACACGTTTGGGTATAGTAGACCCTAAACGCAACACGTTTGGGTACAAATGAATACACCGTTTGGGTACACCATATCTCTAAAAAAATAACACGTTTGGGTACATAGGACATAGGTATTAATATAACATTTAGAAACACCTAGAAAAATAACGAAAAACTTTAGTCGTATCTTTGTTTTCTCTAAACTCACTAAATTTATAGCTGTTAATCGCAACACACTTTTTCCCACGTCGGGTTTCAAAAACATCGGAAATGTTCACGTCCATAATTACAAAGAATAAAATAATCTTGCCGTTTGAAAATCCAAATCGGAACTGAACATTGAAACGTTGAAACATTTACTCATAAACCATAATATCTTATAAAGATAGTTAATCTTTTTTTTCGTGATAATTACAAAGAATAAAATAATCTTGCCGATTGAAAATCCAAATCGGAACTGAACATTGAAACATTTACTCTTAAACCATATCTTATAAAGATAGTTAATCTTTTTTTTCGTGATAACCTATTGGCCATAATATTAGTGTATGTACCCAAACGTGCTATGTGTTTGTGTACCCAAACGTGTTCCAAATTTACAGGTAAAAATAATGTAATGTACCCAAACGTGCTTCGCCCATTTAAAAGTTGTTTTTTTATAAACCCAGGCCCCTCAAAAATAGGTTCAGGGTCGGGCCCCGAACAAATGACCCGAGAAAACCGGTCTGAGTACGGCCCTGCGTGGAATTAGTATTCAAAGTCACGTGCTATTATTAATAGCGGTGACCATAGGCGCCAATAGGGGGGAGCTTAGGGGTATTAGCACCCCCTATTTTACAATTAACACCCTCAAATAATGTTTGTGTTTATGTATCAAAAATTTATTTTTGTCATCAGACATTTGACTATTAGAGTATAAAACTGTAATGAAATATAAATGAAAATAATGTTACTCGACAAAGGTCAATTCACATTTTGTCGAGTTCACTGAAACCCTAATTTAAATTAATTTTAAAACCGGAACCTTTATTTGTATTTATTTAAAAATTAGTTCATTAAATCCTTATAGTTTTAATATAAATTAAATACCCAATAAATACAGAGCTTAAGCTCCCTCAGTTTTTTTATTGAAATTGCGCCTATAGCGGTGACTTATTTTTAGAGAGGGAGTTTAAAATTTTTCTAAAAATTAAAAGTGATTTTATAATATTATAAAAATACAAATAGGTTTTGAATTAATAATTATATTATCATACAAATATTTTTATAAAAACATTACACAACCACATGATAAAAATTGATGTTCTCTTATTGTGCATCTTCGTAGCAAGTAATATATGAATTTTGAACCTTTTTTTTTTCTTCTGAGAGGTCGAGACCCGGAAACCCTCTTCGAAAATATGTAACTAAGTATTAGTATCGCGCGATCAGAGCGAGTGGCGTGTTTTTAACATATTCGCACTATCGACTTTCACGCTCACTTCCCTGTTTACTGCCACTGAAGTGGGCTGAATGTAAACGAAGTATAAAGAAAAAAAAATACATTGATTTGTACAACATAATGGTAATTTCCTATTAAACATAAATTGATTTATTTTTATTGTTTAATGATACTTTATTTATGAATAAATATATTATAAAATAATAGAAATACAGTAAAAATTAAAAATGATTAATTGGTTAATATTCTTACTTTACAAATATAATAATACTCCAGGTTAAGCTTTCATTTATTTAATTCAATTTATAACTATTTGTTTGTTCATTTATATAAGTATCAAAAATAATATATTGTTAATCGTTGTATTATTTAATGATATCCTGTATTTTTCGACTTACCTACGTTTAGTTCTGTAATATTTAATTTTTTCTGTTTGATAAAATTTATAAATTTTAAATTATTATTTGACATGTAAAACGTTATATTCAAGCGCAAATATAAAAATTAAAAATGGGGACGAAAAAATTTACTTTAATTACATAAAATCAAAGTTTAAGTTTTTAAAGTTAATAAAATAATAATTATATAAGGATATTATAATAAAATAACCTTTTATTGCATACATTATATAATAAAAGGCAAGAATGCAAGATATTTAGTAGTTAAAATTAATTTACAGTTTATTAACATATTAATTTGACCAATCCTATTTTTATCCTTCTATATAAGGACTATATGAATAATCACCATATTAATCACTTTTAAATGAAAATGAACAATATAAGTTGATTTCGGATTTAGTTGCATTAAAATATTTGTAATGAGTGTTTGATGGGAGTAAAAAATATGGACGTTTTTCGTAAATAAATGCATACGAAAAAGTTTATTTTGTATATAAATGCATATTTTAGGAGTGGCGATATATTTGAAGAATTTTTCATATTTAAGCATATTTTGTATAAAAGTTCATTAAACTAATTATTTTTTTTCTATATCACAGTAGAAATTAAATTATAATTTATCAAATACACAAAGTGAATAAGTTTCAACTATAAAAACTAAAATTCTTAATTGTACTACACAAATAAAGTAATTGAAGTATTAGAACAAATCGGATTAATTATATCAGGAAGCAATGAAATAACTTTCAGAAAATTTCATTATTTGCTCTGTGGCCAATATGAAATGTGTCACTAATATCAGAAGATGTGGAAAATTTATTTAGTTTCTATGAACATGTAATAAAGACAAATATAACTGAATACATGGAAAAATCAATTACTGTGAATCAATTTTAAAAAAGTAAATATTATAAATGATATTTATTAATAAATAAATTGTATTTAATATTTTTTATTAAATTTCAATATTTCTTATGTTTCATACATATTTACTAGAGAAATGGTATAAAACAATTTGATATTTTTTTATTTTTTTATTATTATTCCTAACTAAAATATTTGTTCTACTTGTTAAATATATATATGTATTTGCTATTCTTTAATTAATGTTATAAGTTGATATCGGTACTTGAGATATTAAGTTTATATAATTGAGTTGCATAAATATTTACTGAAGAAAAATATACATATGAACATATTTATTTTGATATGTAAGATGTATTCATGGATGGGACCATATTTTTGGACATTATTAAAAAAATAATAAAAGGATATCAAGTGCATATTTAAAGATTTTTTGATACATAAAAATACATACTATTTTAAGCTTTTTAAGTGTATATAATTCTTAACTCTATTTATAAATATGATATTGCTCCTCTTTAATTAATTGAAAATTAAGGTACTCTTTGAAATATTTTAAGTACCTAAGGCTAAGGGAGAGGGGGCTGAAGCTCTCCCATAGAATTCTTTTTTGTATCCGCACATGATTGTAACATTATTATAATGTTTGCAAACCCTGCAATGAAAAGATTGTCTTCTTCTTCTACTTCGTTTTTCTTCCAATTGGGGTTAGCCACCCTTGACCTAAACCTCCACTCATCTCGATTTTCTACATACATTACACACAACGGCCCTCATATCATTCTCGATGATATTCAACTATCTATTTAATGGTCTTCCTCTTCATCTTTTTCCAAAAAGAGCAAAAAAATATAAATATTGTGTTGTGTACCAATAATGAATCAAACTTGATCACAATTACTTCACAAATTCTACAAGACAATTGACGAGTTTACATAATTTACTATGGCTTTCAGAAACTTTACAAATATCTAATTGCCATCTTAAAAACAATACACAGCACTAATAAATCGGACCACTTTTATTTTTATTATTCTATGTTTAGTTTATCCTTATAATTCGGAAAAGAAAATTTAATAGCAAAATAGAAATATTTGACATTAACATTAAATCAATTATATTTGTTCATCTCTATAACAATTACTTTTGAGTATCATTAAAATTATTATAATAATTGATACAGTACTAATCCAAAAAATTATACATCAACAGCAGTAGTTATTTTAATTAAATCAATATTTACAATCAAAATGTACAAATTTACTTATTATTACATTATATAAATACTAATTTTTAACATACAAATTGAACTAATTAAAAGTCGTCATTTGTTAGTTAAAAATGCAATGAAAAAATAAATCCAATAATTTTTAATTAAAATAAAAATAATATTATGTTTTATACATAGCATTCTATGATGCAATTGATATTATTAATTAGATAAGTAGGGCAATAATAAGGTAAATAAAGGCAGTGAGAAATAATAAAAGCCCAATATGTTATGACCATAATTTGAGTATCACTTTGCAGCAGCAGCCGTTTGATGTGCTTTAGGAGTAGACAATGAAAGATTAATAAGTCGAGTTCCTGAAGCCATGGATGATAGTGTAGTGGGTCTAGATACGGAAGGTGGCGCTTCTTCTTTGATAGAGACCTAAAACAAAATACACTTAACTGTACACTAAAAGTTAATTAATTAAATTAAAAGTTGTATTAAAAAACTGTCAAATTCAGAAATTAATATTTATTTTTAAATGTTAATATCAAACTATTACAGAAACTACATAAATATTAGGGTGATCCTTTAATCATCTCAATACTTAACAGAGTTTGACAAAGAAAAATGAATAGAAAATGAATAATTTATTTACTGATTTACTCATTATAGAATCATAAAATAAATATATAAAATATATTAAACATAATTGTTAATTTCATTTTTATTAAAAAGAAAGAAAAAGCATAAATTTTAGATTACTGACCTGTTCGTCATCATCATCACTTAGTTCAATAATTGTATTGCATTGATCAGCTCTATATTGTTTAATTAAATCATCTAATTTATAACGTTTACGATATTGAGCATAAAATGTTTTCAAGTGAGTTTGACTCTTGGTTCCCATTGTTTCAGCAATAGCTTTGAAATCTTTTCCATACCTACGGATTCCTGATTAAGCAATACAAATAATTAATTAATATATAGTTCTTAAAATAATTCTAAATAAATACAAATTAAAAATAATATCCAGTTTTAAATTAATTTAATCAACATTTAAAGTAACTCATCTTTTATTTAATATTATATTATAATTTTTAACCAGACATCAGTGGCATGATTTAAAAACACATGAAAAATAGCATTTGTCTTTTTAACCGAAGAATACAAAATTATAAATTTTGATCTATTATCCGTCAACTAAAATGATTAATATTGTTATTTTTCATGCAAACATAATATTAATTTGATATGATGTATATTTTCCTTAGATCTAATTTTTTGCATTTCGTTTTTTAAAATTTAAAATAATGAGATAAGTTTTCAAAATCCCAAAACCAAATATAAAAATATATATTAATATATATCATATTAATAAATAAAAAATTATAAATAATTTCATTCATCGATACATTTATTTGAAATCAAAATTCTGCAGTTTTGAAATAACAAGATAAATTATTGAAATTAAAAATAGATTCGATTTAAAAAAAATATTATTTTATAAAATGAGTGACTTAACACATATTCGTTCGAATTTTCAGTTTCGTCTACTGCCATGCTTCTAGAACATTTGGGACATGCTGGTACAGTATGTTCTCGGTAGATGGGTGAATTACAATGAAAACAGCGGCTAAAATTTTAGTAGGTACTGAACAGTCAAATATCAATATAATCTTGGAAAGCGTAAACATGTGGTGACTGATAATACCTATTATCTACTATAATAAAAATAGTATAATATATCTATGGGTTGAGCCACATTGCTTATAAATAGACAAGTTATAACTGTGTATACAATACATTGATGTCAAAATTAAATATATTATAAATAAATAAAAATAATTATAAAACCAAGAAAACAATTTTAAAATCATATGAACGAAAATAGTGGCATCTGTGATTTTAACCATAATTTTATCAATAAGGGATACAAGTTCATGTTAACGATATAAATTTATATTAAAACACAAAACAACTACTCTTTATGGTTCAAAGAAAAGGTACTGAGTAGAAAAAAGACAGATATGGTTCCAATTATAAATTATTAAAGAAATTAAAAAACTGTCGGTCAAAAAGACTGAAGCCACTGAATGCCAGGTTAATAAATGTATTTTGCTCAAATACGCAATAGGTAAATTATGATAAAATCAGTTAAAATAATATAAATTTAATAAAATGTGTTCTATGTTCAAACATTTTTAAGTTCAAATAGACAAAACTTTGTAGTTTTGTATAACAATATATTTTGATAGTACCATTCATGTTTATATATTCTGATCCAAAATATTATTTTGAGTGTATGCAAGCACTAACTTAAATAACTATTACTAACAATTAATACACTCACTTTGATGTGGTTTAACAAGTTATGTTGTAATTTATTTGTTACAGAATATAAATTTATTTGTACTACATACATCATAAGTGAGTTTTTAATTATTTTAATAGTTGATAATTTGTTCATTTGTATAATAAATAAAACATAAATTATAAGAATATCTGAAGTTAATATCTATAATTCTTATATGAGATAAAGTACAAAAAATCATTAGAATTGAGAACACCATTTTACCTTCAATAGCTAGCATTATTTCATCATTGGACCATCGTGGAACAATACGAGGCGATATTGGTTCACTGTTTCTGTACTCATTGATATTTAGTTTAATCTTCTTTTGCAACTGTCCAATGTCTTGTTTGTTTGACTGAATCTATCATTAAAAATCACAGTTCGAAAAAAAAAAAAACAAAAAAATATAAAAATTGAGTAAATCTGCACATACTTTACATTTTAATGATACAACCTCATCATCCACTGCTGATAAAATATTATCTCCTTTGGCATCTGGACTAGATGCAATGGCTTGAAGATCATCATGATTAACATACATACCACGAGGTGGCAAACGTTTATTACGAGCAACATTTAAGTGACGATTATTTGGACGTGGAGGACCTAATGTTGGTCTAATACCTCCATTAGTTCTCCTAAATCAAAAAAAATACTCTTTATTAATATATTATATTTATACAAAATTATGAAATAGTTACTATCCACAACTAAATAACAATATCAATTTAAAATTATAATTAATCGTATACCTAAAATGTGTATAACATGTTCCACACATTGATCCTTTAGGTGTCTGTTGAAGCATAGTAACAAAAACTCCACAAACAGAACATGACTGTTTTGAACTTCCTTCTCCAAGATCCTTCTGAAAATAAAAAGTCTTATTGAAACTAAAATAGTTATTATAAATCAATAATTAATATTCAAATTTTTAAGTTCTGTACATTTTAGATAACTTACAATAAAAACTAATGTTATACTTTTACTACAAGAAAATTAATTTATCTTCATAAAAAATAGTCTCTGGCAAATTATTAAAATTGCATGAACAAATAGCTAATACATAATTAACAAATCTAATATATTTTTTAATGAAGATTAAATAGCATACATTTTATATTAGTAGAACATGTTCAATTTTTGTAAAACAAATAATTGCTATTTCCTTTATTATTTTTTAAATACTCAAAATTTATCAATATTATTATAAGTTTTAAATAAATACTTTTATACCTAAATAATTAGTGTTATTTAATCTAAATTGTTTTACATTTTTCTGATATATTATTAAAATCTCATTAATAATGCACCAATACCAAGATTGACCTAAAAATATTGAATTAAATGACTCACTCTTTTAAATATCAGTAAATCTTATTCAAATTTTCTAAAATAATCACTATTACTTCAAAATATAATTGAAAAAAATGATCTAATTGCCTATAAGATTTATATCTTTACAATAAAACCATTACAATGCCATCTACATCGTTCTGTATATTTATACAATATTTTTTTATACTTCCAATATTAATAAAAATTTATAATAAACATTTCATAAAATTATATTTTTTTTTTATTTTACATTTTATTTACAATTTGATAAAATAATTGAATTATCAGACATCAAAGTATGTATTATATTACAATTAACAAATAACATGATTTTAGCTTCATTAACTGAACTGAAAATAACATCTTGTTCTGTACAATATTGTTTACCCATAACCAATTAATTTGTACGATGTAGTGCAATAAGTATCACTTACTTATTAATATTTTATGTTGAATTCAGTTCAATAGTAACATGGTAAGATCTTTTAGTTTAATGTCTCACCCTACAAATACATGTTCAAATTCATGGTATGATTTTGGTGACTAAAAAAGCAATTTACTGTACCTTGTCATCAGGATCGGATTCTGCTGAACTAGATCCTTCTCTACTGCCATTTTGATTCTCATTTGCACGGACATTAGCTAATTTCTTGGCTTGTCGATCAATCACACTGCTCTTCTTTCTTTTATTTTTCCATAAATAATAATACTTTACCAATGATGCTATTGGCTTGTCAGGCATCTATAAAATAATTAAAAATGTTAACATTAATTTCAAAATTTCAAACATAATGTTAAAATTGATGTAAAAAAAAAATTATTGTAAATACCATTTGTTTAATGCGCAAGAAATTTTTCCCAATACTATTAAAAGCTGATTCAAATGTTAGTTTGTCTTCAGTTGTCCAATCATCAGGTAAAGGTGCAAAATTTGCTAGATCACTTAGGGCCTTATCCATATCATGATGGTGCCAGTACAACATTCCTAATGCCTGTTCACTATTGTAGCCATATTTTTCTTTAGAAAGTAATATATATTCATTTACTATAATCAAAAATAAGAAATAAATATTTAAATGATAAAAAGTAAAAAATTAATGATAAAGGATAATTACATTTAACTTCTGAAATATTTTCAGTAGGAGCCCAGACTAATAATGCTTTTTTGTTAAGTCGTTCACGCCTATGTGCTGAAATAAGAGACTTTAATTAAACACTTTTGCATAAAGACAAAATTGTAAAAAATAAATTTTAAAATTCAAGATATAAAACAGTATTAATTATGAAACATACTTGGGAGAACCAGTAATTTTGGAATAACAGCTTGGTAATCACGTCCTACTCTGATTTTTTCAGCTAGAAAATAAAAAAACAATAAAAACATTTTTAAAATCATATTTTAAATAAGACAAATGAGGAAAAGATGATCATAAATTCCATAGCTAATGACCTTTTGAGGAACCTTGATAGCCAGTACATTGTGTACAAAAACAAATACGCCTAAGCAAAGATGTTATCAATAAATGCCTAATATGGATAGCATCTTTGTTATTTCAACATCACATGCGTTTTAGAAACAAAATATCATAGAAAACAATATATGAAAGAAATTACTAATATTCTATTAAAGAATTTTAAGATACATTTGGTTAATTTATTCAGAAATATTTTACACTTTGTAAATATTTCCAAACCTCTAATACTATGCTTACCATTTTCCTGTATTAGATCATCAATGTCTGCAGCTATATCAGATGGAGCAGGTCGTTTGCCATTGCCGTTTTTCAAATCTGAATTGTCGTTAGCCATGTTTCCTAGGAAAAAAAAACTAACAACACATACTATGAGTATAAAATCAACAGCAAAGCTGACCGCTGGGCGAACAAATAGACATGGGCACCAATGAACGGAACAGCGGACGATAAGAGTTTGCCCGTGTAATAGTAAGCGAGTAACGAAGGAAAAATTAAAAATTAATTAAAAATATAAAATTTGAGTACTGAACGAACGGCATCATAATATAAAATATGGGATTTGGAAAATGGCACGTTTTTCTCCTCCATGACGGTATTTGAATTTTTTTCCCTTTATTAACCAACCACGGGCAAAAGAACGAGGATTTTAATAAAACAATGTCATACTTACGTCTAGACGTTAATTTTGTACCGCAGGAACGCGGGTACACAGGTGATCCGCGGCAGGCTCAACTCGGCCGAGCACGGCTGGGATCGAAAAATACGCGCCCGCGTCGAAACGGACAGCGAGACGTGATAGTTTTAAAAGGTGTATTTTCAAATTGAAATACTTGGAACAGAAAAACGACGACGGTGGGACGTCATTGCATCTCGCGATACGACGCCAACAATGATGTTCACGGCCAGCGAGCGGTGCGCGCGGACGTGCGCCGCACGGTGTGAGTTCGTCGTCGGCGCGGCTGCACTGGTTTTCAACATGCGGGGGAAAAAAAATCAAATCGTCAAACATGGCGTCTCCGGCGGAGGGTTATTAAACTTTTATAATAACGTTTTTGAATAACGTACACGCGCTGGTGTGCGTGCGTGTAAGTGTGTGTGTGTACGTGTGAAACCGCGTACATATGCGCGCTGGTGAGTGCGAGTGCGTACGGCAACCACTGGCGCGTCATACCCGTCGATGACTAACCCGCGGAGACCGTGTACATTGTACGTACGTGCTTAATGTTATGCATACAACATGCATGTGTATTTCACCGTACGCTGTACGTGCGATGCGGTCACCACGAACAGGTGAACGTGTGTATCGTACATACGCAATAACTTGTATACTCGTATGGCTACAAACTTAACTAATTAACCGTATATGCGTGCACGTGTGATGCGCGCAACACTTCGTTACAGGACTATAATCATCAACTGTTATTATTTTTGTTTTTCATATTGAATTATATCGCAATCGTTTACCGTACGTGAGAATATCGCTGGAGGGTCGTTTCCGGCTGACGAGGGTTTTTCGCCGTCGCTTGGAAATTTTAATGATTAAAAAATTGAGCCTCGTATAACGACGTCGAACGTTTATGTCGAACGCACGGGGGTGTGGAGGCTGTACGTGAGGACCGCGGTTTTTGGTTTCGGATCGTCCGCATTTCACGCCGAACCTTTTCAAACCGATGGTACGCTAACCGATACCCCTGGTTAAAGGTTTATACCACGAGTTTCGAACGCGCATAACCACGCCGATGGACAGAAATCGTTTTTCTTTTTTTCCCGCGGGGAGTACACGTGGCCATCGGTCAGCCGGTGAAACACGTTGAGGATAATTCATTGGAAACCAATGGCTGTCGATCTCATCGCTCCCTCAATCGATGTCTATGCGGAAAACTAAGCGAGCGGTGATTCCGATATCGTCGTAGTTATTGCGGTGACTGTGGGGGCTGCAGCCGTTCCCCCTCCCCCAAAATAAGAGAATGGATTGTTATGAAAAAAACAACAGTTATTACAGTACAGTTGTATTTTACCATTACCATTAAAAAATTAATATTGATAAAACTGTTTTGAAAAAATGTATTATGATTAAAGTATGATGTGTCTTTGAACGACTTTTTTGATAAACGATAATATTTAATGATTGTTTGAATTTAGGCATGGGTGTACACCCTCGCGGGAATACAACTGAAAACGCGCCTGACCCGTGATGCTGATATCTTGAGTTCCGAGTCTCCCTTCCCCTATTCTAATCGTCGAACGTTATATAACTAGAAGATAGACTAACAAATGTAGAATAGTGTAGAACAGACACACACAAGACATGCAACAACGAATATTTATTTTATTATGATAACCAAAGATTTTTTGTAAACAAATAGAAATCAAAACGATTTTTTATCAAAAAAGATGTGCAATTTGTGACGGGGCTCATGTGTTCGAGTCTTTTAGAACAATGTTTTTCAACTGCTTTTACCCACCGAACCTTTGCGGGACTTGAATATTTTTGCGGCACCCCCTATTTTTTAAAATAAGATTAATGAATACCAAATTTTAAATATCTCGGGCCACGGCCAAAACAATTATTATACAACAAATATTTTATAATAAGACACAGCATCGTCCCAAAGAGGAGAGGGTTAGTTCTCGTTCATAGTTCGAATCCTTGTTCATATCGAAAATGTTATTTATTTTTTCCCTAATTTATAACGGAACCCTTATCGCTGGCTTACGGAACTTACAGATTCTGCGGAATACCAGTTGAGAAACATTCTTCTAGAATCTAGACCGCCGTGTACGTGTATAGTAATTTTTAAAAAAAATTTCTGCTTTCGATCGCAATAAACTTTACCGTTTGCTTGAATGACCCATTTAATTGTATAACGTTTACATCGGTAATCATCCACATCTGTTGCGGCGCTGCTTATGCACACGTATATTTCTGAGATTAAAATCCCCCGTGGTGTCCAAAATCGTTAAAATAAAGTGCAAAAAAATATAATAAAATAAACGATTGAATACTGAAGTCCATACTGAATATATATAGTACATATTATATTTATGTATACACACCGCACGAATTATATTATATACGGCGCAGAACACTTAATGCGAAACGTCTGAAAGGACACATTTTATGTGAAACTACGTTTTATTTTTTTATTATACATTAATAATATGCTTGCGCTACACCATTCGCCCCTCTTATCACCATTAGGAAATCCGTACATGGGTGTAAATATAAAAATGTACACTTATCTCATTGTTGGTTTTAAAAATACTTTATTGCTTACGCTTTATTCTAAATACTTATGAATTTATAATATTATTGTAGAATCCATCAATGATTCAAACGAGAAGCAGAGTGGGAGTTGAGTTCACTTCTACGAAATTCTAAGCTGCTTGTAAAAATGCATTGCAAACGTTTTCCTTGGACCCGACGTTTTAACAAGTTCTACACAGTGCCGGATCTAAGTCTCAGAAGTTCGGGATAAAAATACCAATTGGGGGCCCTTTAAAAATGTTTTTCTGTATATAAATATATATATATGCCCATAATTAGTTTAATTTAAAAGCAACAAGATAAAATTAAAAAAATGTTCTTAAAATAGTTTAGATGATTCGTACGTATATAAACATCAAATAATTACTTATATTATAGAGATGCGTATATTATGTTTTTGCAACTGTTACATTTTGAGTTTAAAAATAATTAACCTCAAGTTTTAAGAATAAAAATATTAGTACCTACAATATTGTGTATGGAACAAAAAAAGCAACGACTAACGAGTGTGTATTGCACAACTGTATATATCTATATATATTATATATTATATGTGTACATTCACCAATCTCTCGCATTGTAACGCAGTTTCTCGTTTGAATACCTATCACATATGCAACATGCATAATCCATTGCATTTATTATTTCGATGTATTATTTTTCAGGTATTACATGTCTTACTCACCAATATGCATGTATAAATTTGTATGTGTATATGAATAATATATAGATATAAACTTGCACAAAAATTGGTAGCGTGTATGAACTATTTAATATTTATTTATTTACAGAAACGTTATTTCGCTTGTCTTAATGCTGAAGATTCACTACGACGATTGTAAAAATACAAATGCAGTGTTCCTACTAATGTACTATATAAATGTCGTTTGAACGTTACACGAACGTGAAAATAACTATTCTGGAGAAACTATATTGTCCACGTATATTGTAGGTATTTATCAACTTCTTGTTTATAGCAAAGTAACTGCTGTTATTTAAAATACCTTATAATTACAATACATACTAAATATGTTTGAAAAACCACCTCCTTAAATACTTGGTTTGACCCTCCTCTTTTAAATATCCTCATAATTTCAAATATAAAAAATAATGGTAAACATTAAAAATGAAAATATTATATATTTTATTTAAAAAAAAACCGCGTAGAACAAAAGTCGCCAAAGCTGTTCTCGAAATAGGTATTTGCTATAATAAAGATTATTATTTTAAAGAACTTGGGCTTTATAATTTATATTATTTATATTTAAAAAATTTAAAATGGTCGATACTTGTGTTCATTGTGGTGGCACAGCATCAAAATATGTGCCATTGATTTTATTATGTATTATATTTTTTTTATATATATTATTATAAAATCAATGGAAGTACAGAGGTACTACAAACTTGGAAATATGTAAATAATAATTATGAAAAAAATTATTTAAATATATGAGAACTTGTATTTTTAATTTTTTTTTTTTAGATAAGGCTAGACTATAGAAAGTAGACTAGGTACTCTTTAATAAAGAAATATATAACATAACCTCCCTTAAAAAATATAACTCGATCACTGAGTCAAGTAAGTTTATGTTAAAATATTATAAAAACAAATAATTAGTAACACGTCAATATCGCGAAATCAAAAGTAAACCGAATGTTTAGAATCTTAATGTAATATGATTAGGGTCATAGCGGAGAGTAGTTGATTTACGTAAAGCAAGTAATAAATTACTATATAAAATCATTGTGTAAATAATGGTAATGATTTGTCATAATTTTCAAGTTTATAATAAGGTTATTTTTAACATTTTGCGTACTGTACGTTTTTTTTTTTTAGAAAATAAAAGCTGATTGGTAAATATTATACATATAAAAGTTCTACATAAAGTATACAACTACGTTTGTTGGAAAAAAAGGTCTTTGATCAATTAATTGATATACTTATTTTATGTTAGTATATAAATTTTCTTATAAGATGATTTATGATATATACCTATTGAAATCCGTCGGTCAGTTGATAAAAGTAAATAATAATGGTTTTTAATATTTATTCGTACTCTATAGATAGTAAACAACTAATATTTTACGTTATACACTAGAATACCAAATTATATATTCATATTGACTATTATAGTGTAAATTATTTTTTGAATAAGCATTCACATATAAACAAATATAATTTGCAGGATAGTACAGGCGAAAAGATCCTTTCAAGACAAAAGCCACATATTAACTACCAATAGTGTCAGATTGGAGTTAAGGAAAAAATTCCTAAAAAATTATATATGGAGTGCAAGCAGGGGCGTATATAGACTTACTTTTAGGGGGTAAATCAAATTTTTTCTTTAATTCAGGATCCACTTAGGATCGACTTTTGTGTAGTTCTTTTTTAACACCTGTGTTTTGAAAGTTACGCTTGTGTTTTATTTGATTTTCACTAAGTATGGACCCGACAAAAAGCCCAATTCAGTATTCATAGCCACGCGTAATTTGATTTCGTTATAAAATAATCCACATTAAAAAAATTTGAAATGTGTATCTCAAATATAATCAATTCCTTAAATATGGAATCAGGGGAGGGGTGATCGCCCCTTCGCCCTTCCCCTAAAATACGCCAGTAAGTGTAGCACTTTTTGGATCCGAAACATGTACAGTAAAATCAATGGAAAAAAATAGGTTAGAAGCCTTTGAGATGTAGTGCTTCAGGAAAATACTTAAAATATTATGGACCGAGAAGGTAACGAATAAAGAAGTATAAGATAAAATAAAGAAACAATGAAAAATATGGAAAAGTATCAAATTAAAAAGAGGCAAGATGATAGGACACATATGTTATAAAGGCATGAAAGTTTAATAAAGAAAATAATTAATGGAGATGTTAAAGGTCACATTGCAAGAGGAAGACCAAGGGCGGAATACATGACACAGATAACGCAGGATACGAATAAGAGAAATTTCAAAAACCTGAAAGAATCGTGCTACGATAAAGAAGCATGGAAAGCTGCAACAAACACATCTACGAATGTATAATAAAAAAATAAATGCGTTCACATAATCATGACTAATATTATACTAAGCATAGTTAGTCAGGCAATCTGTTATCATCAAAATTGAATTACAAATTACTACACTAAGTTTTTTTGTATAGATATAATATAAAATAATAATATTTATCATTTTTTATAATAATAATAATAATAAAGTAACCACGATTATAACTAAAAACTGAAAAAAATTTAAGAAAATAAATCACTAGTAATTTTTTTTACTAATTTCACATGTGAGGACTAATGTTAATTCCTCTTTACCACAAAAAATGGAAAATATATACTTATTTTTTATTAGTGGATTTATGTTCATTTCAAACAAGTAACCTAATTGTACTTTCATGTTTATATACTACAACATACAATTCGTTGATATATGTAATCTTACTATAAACTCATAGAAAATAGAAGTCAAAATACTCCGACCTTTTTTTGCACTAAGTGATAGATCAAGTGGTTTTTTTTTTAATCGAAACGTTTATCTTTTAATATAAATAATTTTCTCTGTTAATTATACTTCAATTATATTAAACAAGTGAATGAAGAAAACAATCATATATTAATGAAAATAATTTCATAAAAGGACCGACGGTCTTTACATTACGCTCTTTAACCTTTAAAATGCACACGATTAAAAAGAAAAAGTGTTATCATTAAACACAGTTTTCTCTATAGGGGGTCACATACTGTGGGGCGGATAGGTATGTGGTGGATATTTTTTCTATTTTAGACATAATAAATAATTACCGAGTAATCAGCTTAATCATTCGTATGATTTTACGAAACGAATTTAACTTTTAAAGTAGAAAAATATTATAATTTTGGTCACGCTCAGGGACGCCCGAAGGGGGGTAGTTGGAGCCATTGCCCCCCAGCGATTTTTTATGTTATTTACAAAATGAGAAATTTCTTTCTATAAAGCCGTTTAGGTTAGCCAGATTCGATTCATATCGGATACTCAATGATACCTCTCCTCCTGTTACATTTCTGCGAGCGTCCCTGGTCACGTTTATTACACTTAGCACTAATAAGCAGTATTAAGACCTTTTAAATTAATAAATAATGAAAATAATATTTTATGCTTACGAGTTTTTTTTCTATCAGATTCAAAACTTTGCAGTTTCTTTAACAACTTGCAAATTTTTGTATGCTTAGCGTTTGTGAAATTATATTTGAACAGTTGGAACTGAAAAATATTAATTCAAAACACTCGATACGGATAAGGTAAACTACGTTCAATGTCAGAAATGACAAATTAAACATCAACACCTCTTACAAATACATATAAAAGATAAACAGTAACAATTCATTTGCCGGTAACCGGGCAACAGCTATACAGTTACTCATATAGTATTCTAGTGTATCAGTTACATATAAGCCAACTCTTAAATTTTCAAAAGTGATTACCTCTAGTTATTTATACTTCGTATTTATAACTAAAAAATTAAAAAAAAAATTTAAACGTTATCCCATAGATACCGAGGAGGTGGTGATGGTAGCAGCCTATAACCTATAGCCTATATATATATATATATATATTATTAACCAAATTTTACTCAATATCTTCCTGTTGTTGGCTATGAACCAGAAAAGAAATGAAGACGTTTTGTTTTGCAGCAATCTTTAATTTATAAAAAAACAAAGTGTAGTACAAAACTACATTCTTCAACACAACATTTTTTGTATTTATAATGAGCGTACTGCTGTTATATTAACTTAACAATGAAAACACGATTTTTTTCCATAAATTATTTAACATTAACAGTTCAAACTTTTCAAGAATATTTTTTTATAACATTGTTGGAATTTGGACTCTAAATTTATTCTTGTTTATATTGGTTATTTATATTCTATCGGGTCCACTAAAAAAATACTCTCTATCCTAGATGAATATTCTAAGAATTTAAGTATATTTCAAGGAAAACAGCTTTCTAGACTAATCTACTAGTGAATACATATATTAGTTTACCATAGATGATACATTATGATATATGAATATTAATATAAAAGTTAACATATTACATAATTTAAAACTCAATTTTTAGTGTTATAATAGGTCACATTAAACATATTTTATCAGTTTACAGATAGTGAATTCTCAAAAAATTACCATTTATAGAATTATTGTTTTACTTCAATAAACAGTATTTTAAATTGTTATAAGATTTCTGCAGCTGCAGTCATAATTGTTGGCTATCACATTTTAGGTGCAATAAGCCAAATAATTAAATACTCAAGTGATACACTCCAAGTACGTGACACAGATATAGTCAGTCACAGGCGCGTAGTTAGTTATTTCAAAAGGGGTTTGTTAATCAAAATGATACACACACAACAAAATGAATACTTTACGTATACCTACTTAATTTTACAAGAATACAATCACATAAGCACATTACATATGAATATCTATTCATGTGTAAGTACTATTGTATGGAAAAGTATTTAAATATTTTATTAAAATTTCAAATGTACATTTTTGTCATATGTACCTATTTTAAATCGCGCATATGACATAAAACCACAACTTTGGTTTATGAGACAAAACGATGTAATGAGAAGCAGAATCCCAGCTTAATTCTGGCAAAACGAAAAACTTTGACAACTGCAGTTCCAAAAATGTTAATGAGAAATACTTTTTAGTTTGTACATTACTTATTATGTGGAAAATAGATAAACATTAGGGGGCTAAGTTCTACTATCACCCATCTTAATGCACTAATGCATTTGTTAGAACCCATAGTGAAATTTCAAATTTAAGTAAATTTTATAAAATATTAACTTATAAAATAATATAAATTATAAGTAGGTGTCAGTGCCTTAAAAACTGAGTTGTTTGATTAGGGGGCCTCAAGGTTGCTATTCATACACGGAACTCGAGTAGTCTAGTTACGGAACTGGTAAGTACAAAAAAAAAATCCGATACAACATAATACAACATACATTACTTGTACATAGATACCACAACTGCAAATAATTCATGGAAATCGATTTTATTGTACAATTTATGGATACCGTATAAAAATTAGAAAACACTAAAATTGATGATATGCGGCATGAGTACATTTAAATTACTGCCGCAACACTGAATGCAAGATATAATCAAAACCAATTTAAAGGGCTTGAAATAGGTGTACAACTGAAAAATATTTAAGTATTATAGGAACTTCTATTGGTTTAATTTAAAAAAATTAAAGATATTTGAATTGGTTAACTATTTTACTTTGCGTCAGTCCGAGCACTTTTTTAATTTTGGCAAATTCTTGATGAAAATAAATATTTTACATTTTATAAATTAGTCAATTTTTAATGTTAAATGTAATAAAAAAATTAAATATATTCTCAGGCCAAAGCAAAATCGACTTGTTTACCAATTTAAACAGCTTTACATTTATTAAATTGAATAAGTAGTATCATAATTTTTGTCAAACGCTAAGGTTGTTTTGATAAAAAATTAATAATGAATGCTGGGGCCTTAAATACAGTTAAAAATATTTAATTACAAAAATTTTATAGCCAAATTCAAACTTCAGCAGTCACCACTTCCAAATTTGGAGACTAATATTATAGAATACTTAAAGGTCTTTAAGAACCTTTAATTTTTTTAAATTTACAGCCATTAAAAATGTTATTCAAACATTAAGAGCTCCTAGTTTAATTAATTTAAAAAAATATTCTTTAGTAAATGAATCATGTTTACATCAAATTAAGCTTTGTGACTAACATGAAAAATTAGAATTATATGTATACATTTTTTATAAAGTACATGTTTTTAAAATAAAAAAGTGGAATATTTCACTATTAAATAGTGAATTAAATATTTGTCATTCAAATATAATAATATAGGAATAAATTTGAATTAGTCACTTAAAACCCGGGATCAAATATACTAAAGAACTATTTTTTAACTGTAGATTGATAAAAGAAAATTGAAAAAAATAATAGAATAGAAATAATAGAACTGAATAGTTTTATTTATAAAAATCCATGAATTAAACAGATTCTTGGACTGGTGGTTCATAACCTTCAGGTCTATCTACTTGAACACCCGTTTCTTCATCAATAACTGTAGTTACACCTTCATCACTATGGAATTCCATCAGTTTACCAATATCCATACGTGGTTTCTTTAAAACTTTAACCTAAAATACAAAATAAATAAAGTAAAAATAAAGTATAATATTATAGATAAAAATCAACTGATAGGCAAATTTAAATACCTTGCGAATGAAGACATCGTGTAATGGATAAATATTCTGGCATTTCTTTTCAATTTCTTTAGCGATGGAGTCAGGTCGAAGCTTGTTCACTACTTCTTT